AATAATAATAAAGATAAGAAATATGGCAGAGGAATTAAGAGATTTTATTGGCTCAAGAATAATGGAGAAAAGATAAAATTACAATTGATCCTATAATGTTAGTAATCTATTTTTTCACACTTATGAATTGTGTAGGAGAGCTTAATATTTATAAGGAACATGTATAGAATGTCCAAACCCTCCTAGTAGAGTAAGTAGAATGTCAAAAAATCGAGTCCAAAACGAAAAAAGAGAGAAAAAAGCAAAAAATCGAAACAGGTAAGGTGGCGCCGGGCGTTCTACCAAAAAATTATTTATTTAATTTTTTTTTGTTCCCAAATAGTTTTCTCCATCTCAAACTCTTCTTCAAGTTCAATACCAATNTTCTTCAAGTTCAATACCAATTTCCAACTCCCAATGAACTTTCAAAATAGAATTTCAACTTGATATAAGACTCCAATAGCATTTCAAATTGAATTTTCCTTGACGTGCACTTCAATTAAAATTCTTCAATACTTCAAACAAGGAATTCGGGTCACAATCAAATTTTAACATTTTGTCTCGAGGAAAAAATGTTATATCACTTGCCTCGGATTTTTCGTTTGTCTCTTCTTCCTTTCTTTTCGTTTTCTATTCCATATTAAGTTTAATTACGTTCCTACGAATTAAACTTTACCATTCACTTTATCAATTACAAACAACCATTTCACTGCACAATTAACCAACATATACAAAGGTGAATTGTGCAATAAGTAAACTCTATGTCAGGGGAATGCAATGCGGAGCCATTCCAATTCGAGCGAAGTTGCATGTTGAAGACGTCGATAAGTGTAGGCGTGGGTCAATTTAGGTCTATTTTGAGCCCAATCAAAAATTTAATATAAGTCGGTTTGGTGATGTATGAAGAGAGTTTTTACGTTTATAGATGTAAATAATAAAGCAAATAAAATCAGATTAAATAACGGTAGTGAGAAAATACAATCCGGTGAAAATTCCCAGATTTACAAGAGAATATGTTTCTAAAGCGGGACAGGACGGGACGGGACGGGACGGGGCGGGGCGGGTTCGGGGGCTGGATCAGGGTGGGAGGGACGGGGCGGGGTCCCGGCCCCATTTATTTTTTCTTTT